TCCTAATGGCGTAGCCATCTTTAATACAAGACAGAGCCAAACCTCCAACTAGGCACAATAATCACCCCAGAAAAAAACAGAACATCTCCCAAAATCTTTTTGCCTTTGTCATCATGGCCAAAAGGAAATTCTGTCCCCCAGTATACTTTTGAAATGAGATATAATCATCCCTATTCAGTAACTTAACAAATACAAATTATGTCAGAGGGCAGATAGGTCTATGGAGTATTTTAAATGATTCCAGCCACAATATATATCAAATTCCTGATTTAAAATAGCTCTAAACAAGCAGTAACATTAACTTAGTTCATGCTCCTGGAAATAATCTGTGATTTCTTAGAGTGAAAAGGTCTATTTCACATCATTAATTTTTAAAAAAAACTTTAAAGTAGACCAAAATCTAACAAAGCTTCCACCTATCAGATGATAAAAATACTCCTGTAGTTGCGTCATGCTGCAGCATTTGTACTGGACTGAGGGGTCAGAGGAGGCAGAAATTTCACTTGGCTCTGATCATAAAAAAAGCAATAGAAACAGTTGATTTTAATAATCACTCTTCTGGAGTTATTCCACCTTACCTTGGTTTGGAATTCCATAAAGCTCTTCTCTGAACATTATTTCCTGTCTCTAAACTAGGAAGCAAAACTACAAGCTTTTTTAAAGTTCTTCCACTATACATGGAAATTAATAAACTACTTTAATATTTAACTGAATCTCAAAGTCCTATTCTATGTTCCTAGTTGGCCAAAAGGTATACATCTATTGAGAGACTTTCAATCAATTTTCAACTAGCGGTATCGGTTTTGCTGTCAGAGCTCTTTATTTTTGTACATAAAAGGAAGTGGGTTTTGATACTATCTCAGTGTTCTTCCTGTCCTACCATGCTTTTGCAATAAAATAATGTCAGACTCAGAGTAAAAGCCCCAAATAAGGAGGAATAGGCGCAATTAATTGGCTTTATCTTTACTGATAACTGCAACTAATTCAGAGCTGCTTGGCTGCATGCTGCTACTATCACTGCGGGCTATGAGTCTGTAGCTTTAATTTGCGCAAAACTACAAAACATTCATAAATATGAATATCTGCCTAAAAATGTATATGGTTATCTATACCATGGGTGTGACCCATAAATGATAAATGTACTTTTTATGAGACTAAATCTTTCCTCATAATTGGTAGTCTGAGCAAACATGAATCACATGTAACTTCAGGTATGCCTCTCAGCCCACCTTCCAAATCGCGGCCCTCTCAGCTTTAGAGACTACCTACAAGAAAAAGAACTTCATAGAACATCTCATCTTACTGTAAACCGAGAATAAATAATCAATATTGTGATCATTTCTAGAAGAAAATGAATCAACAGCAGCTCAAAAATAACTGAACTGGATCCAAATTTGAAATTGATACGAGCTTGTGGTTAATGTCTTCTATTACTCAGAGTTTAGAACAAGGTTATGCTATTCAAATCTACTTATTAATCTATTTTTTAAAGAATTATTCACTTTATCTATTTATCTTTATTATTTTTTCACATGAGTTTGCCAGAGAAAGAGAGAGAGAGAGAGAGCGAGCGAGTGAGCAAGCCACCAGGTTCATGACTCGAACCATGGTTGGCCATGTGGGAATTCCAGCGCCCTAACCATCACGCCACCTGCTGGCCCTCAAATCTACTTATTAATCTACTGACAACAGGATTCTAAGGTTATTTCTAAGATCTTCCTGTATTGTAATACATTTACCTCAGATGCTTAGAGAAAGCTATTAGTTGTGAACAGTACGACACTGGCAATGGAACAAGGCAACAGCCACTGTTCCAAACCACTACTGTACCATATGTAGCTCCTGAAAAGCAAGGACCCCAGACTATATTCCTAGACAAAGATTCTGTCCCCAGAGTGATTTCTTTTAATATTGATTTCCTGATTTCTAACCCCATCCAGAAAATACGAATCGTATCCCTTGCCTGATGATTTGGCTTGGTTCCTGAACTTAGATCTTTAACTTCCAAACTTCACACACACACACACGCACACACACACGCACACACACACGCACACACACACACACACACAATTCTTAAAAGTTTACACTTGGGAGAAGCAAATGGCTTGACTATTCAAAAACGGGTGGTTAGGAAGGTCTGAGGAATGGAAAGTCTTGGACCACACCTTCTTTTGTTATCAGTAGGAATTACGTTAAAACTATACATTAAGGATATCGGCCGGAGCCCCCTCCCCACTCCCACCCAGTCTAACACCTTGCTTCCTTTCCATTTGTTCCCAGCAGTTGTGGTCAGGGTGGTTCTTCAAGTGGTTATGACTTAAAGCTAAGCTATCTTCATAACAAAGCTTGCCCTAATAACCCATGCAGTAGCTATACCAGAGTGAACAGACAAGGTCGTCTAGGACCTCAGTTCTCTCCACAAGGAGCAGATAGGCTAGCACAGGGATGGTAGTGAATCAGAACTACCTGTGTGACACAGGCATATTAACAGTCCTGGAGGGACTTAAAACCAATGAGACCAATTTTGTAGCAAACATAACACTGGCTTCTAGATCAAAAGGCAGTCACCTATCGTTCAAATATCTAAGAGTACATTCAAGTTAGGGAAAATCATGAATGTCTATTTTGCTTTAGAAAATCACAATGTCGATCCTTGTAAATGAACCACTGGAGCCATCATTAGTTGGCTTAAAAATTTCCTTACCATATACGGCTCAATTATAAACACGGAGGTTAAAACAAGTTGCCCTCTTCTGACAGAAGCTACAGAATAAGTAGCAGACGTAATGAAATGTGTCTCTTAATTGGCAAACACATTCCAAAAAAGCTATCAGAACAAAGACTAAAGAAAGCTTTTGAATAAGCTGTAAAGCAGGCACCAAACAAGGGATAAGAATGAAGGTCAGCAGACCAAATCTACTGTTCGCTACTAGAAATGAAAAGTATTCTTTCCCAAGTAAGGAATGATCTGATAGGACAGTAAGTGCTCAAAGTTTAGAAGAGAGAATTATAGCAGCAAATAAAATAAGAGGGTCTTAAAAAGGCTATGGACGCCAAGAGCTGAGAACAAAGCCAGTGGAACCCAGTGTTGCCCAATGTGATAGCCACCAGCCATATTTGGGCATTTATATTTAAGTTCAAATAAAATTAAAAATCTAGTTCCTAATTGGATAGCAACAGTACAAATAAAGAAAGGAATCTAGACACAGATCTTACACCCTTCACAAAAAATTACAGACCTACATGTAAAACATAACACTATAAATCCTAGACGATAGGTGAGAATCTACATGGCCTTCGAGTATGAGATAGAACATCAAAGGCACAACCCACAATGAGAAGAGAACTGACGAGCTGGACTTCATTAAGATTGAAAATGTCTGCTGTGTGAAAGAAGCTGCCAAGAAAATAAAAAGACAAGCCACAGGATGGGAGAAAATACTTTCAAAACACATATCCAATAACTACTACCCCAAATATGACAAAACTCTAGACACTCAACAGTAAGAAGACAAATATTACACAAAACGAGCAAAAGACTGAGCAGACACCTCGCCAAATAAGACATACAAAAGGCAAATAAGCATACAAAGAGATGTTCCATATCATGTTGTCAGGCAAATTAAAATGAGATACCACGATACACCTATTAGAATGGCCAAAATCCAAAGCACTGGCAACACCAAACGCTGGTTAGACTATGAACAACAACATGCCTCATTCACTGCTGGTGGGAATGGAAATGGTACAGCCACTCTGGCAGATGGTCTGGCCATTTCTTATAAAACTAAACATACTCATAATACAACCCAGCAGTCACAGTCCTTGGTTATCTAGCCAAAGGAGTAAACAACTTGCCCGTACAAAACTGCACAGAGATGTTTACAGCAGCTTTATTCGTAACTGCTGAAACTTGGAAGTAGCCAAGATGCCCTTTAGTAGGTAATGGATAAATAAATGGTGGTATATCCAGATGACAGAATACTATTTGGTGCTAAAGAGAATGAACTACAAAGCCATGGAAAGACATGGGAGAACCTTAAATACACATTACTAAATGAAAGAAGCCAGTGTGAAAAGGTTCCAACAGTACATTCTAGAAAGGGCAAAACCATGGAGGAGCAAAAAGATCAGTGGTTGCCAGAGCTTGGGGGGTGGGGGGAGGGTTAATGGAGCACGCAGGATTTTCAGCGCAGTAAAACTCTTCTGTATGATACTATGATGGCGAATACATTATGCCCCTGTCCAAAGGCATATAACATAAACCACTTGAGAGTAAATTCTGGGGTCAGCAGGTGGCAGAGTGGTTAAGGCCTCAGACTCCCGCATAGTCAACCGTGATTTGAGTCCTGACCTGGCAGCTTGAAAACCACGCTAGGCACTTCTGTATGTGCGCCCCAAATCCTGAGAGAATGGAGAACAGATTGTGGTGGGTCATCCTGCTGGGGGATATTTCTCACTTTCCCTCTCCCCTCCCCCAGTGAGCGTATGCATCTTATGACCAAAAACTTATTTTAATTAAAAATAAAGATAATAAAAAGTTGAAAAAAGAGTGAATTCTCCTGTAAACTGTGGGTCTGGGTGGTGATGACATCCCAGTGTAGGTTCATTAAGTGTAACGAAATGAGGGATGTGGACAGTAGGAGCAGCTCTGTATGTGTGAGGGCGGGAAGTACAAAGGAAATCTCTGTACCTTCTATTCCACTTTGCTGTGAACCTAAAGCTGCTCTTAAAAAAAAGTATTTTTAAAAAGGAATTCCTCAGTCACACTAGCCATACTGCAAGTGTTCAACAGGCCCATGAAGCTAATCGCTACTGTGCTGTGCTGGACAAGCGGGACATAAACATTTCCATCGCTGCAGGAAATCATACCGGACCATCTAATCTGGAGGGTAAGGGA